TTCGATCTATCCAAGTTACTTTAAATAGCGATGGCTTTAATACCACCATTTGTTCACGATATTATTTCATTATTTTTTTCATTAAATGATGGTATCTATCAATTATTGTATGATATTTCTTTTTCATTATTATTTAAATTTCCAATTATTTTAAAATGAAATTCTTATAAAAAATAATTAAAAAATTATTATATATAAATACCATAAACGATTGAATTTATGTTAAATATTTTGATAACCAAAGAGAGCTGTCATGAAGTTTTATTGGAATTCATTTCGATGGAGATAATTTTCTTGACGAGTATCGAGTTGTTCATTTTGTGGGTTGTACGAACCCATCACTGTAAATTACCAATGGATGGGGATCTGTGCCTTTTCCATACCGAGAAAGATCGTTCCGACGGTCCTCGTCCATTGATACACGTCATACGTAAAAGACGCGTGACTGAGACGAGCGAAATGTAGCTGAGAGTAAAGCATGCACATAAGTACATACGTCGGCTTGGAATTTGCTTGAAGAGACGAGTAATAGATCCTTCGTATATTTTCTTTATTGTACTGGGATCAATTTTAAAAAGATATTTTTATTGCATTTTTTATAAATGACAGAAGTCAACTGGTTGATCGAAAAAAAAAAAATTGAAAAATGATTGTAAGCTATGCAGAAATATTTTTAATATACGAATGATTAAATACAGCAAAGAATTGCATTTATTCAAAGAAGAAAAAGAATTCTATTTCCTGTTTGAATATTTATAGGATGCGATAAAAAGAAAATAAAAGGTAAGTCGGTAAAAATTGGTCAGAGGTGTATATCTGTATCGCCCTTTGAAAAGACAATAAACGTATGCTTCTCGCAAACGGTAAAATCTCTCAGTTACGATAGAAAGTATCTTACATACACCCACCCGATTGGCAGGGGCAAACTAACTTTGACCGATAGAGAATCAAGGTGGTGGTAAGAAAGGGGACAAAAAGATAACAAAAAAAAAAAAAGAAAAGAAGAAAAGAAAGAAAGAAAGAATGAAAGAAAGAGAAAGAGAGTGTGGGCGAAGTAAACGCGCATCGAGCGAGCCATTAATCCTAGCCCGTAGGCTAGTGGAGTAGACACGAGGCGAAACAAACCCCCTTGTCCGCGACCTATAGTGAGATGGTATCGACGATCGAGTGCGAAAAATCGACTCGGCCGATCGAATAAATCCTAGTCGAGTCGAACGAGCTCCAACTTCGGAGAGAGAATCTCCAAGCGCGCGGGGGAACCGATTCTCTCGACGAAACGGCGCCACGAACGTCTCAGTTTCATTCTAACCTCTTTAAAACCCTTTTACAATCCTATCTCACAATACTCTCCAACTGGACATCTCATTTCTAACATGTCACGATCTACTATTTCCTAGAAGATATCCCTTTCCCTCTGATTCGTGCAACTTGCACACGTAAGAAGCTTCAATATCAAATAATTTACATTGAACATTGGTTAGTAATAAGAATTTTTCGAATGTTGAGATGTTCAATTGTATCTGTTTGATCGTTAACTGTGGGGTGGTTTCCACTTGACGTAAAAGTGTCACGTGAAAGGGAGATGAGCCGCAACGATTCTCCTCTTACGTGAAACGAAAATTCGGGTCTCAGCAGGTCTCGGAGCTAAGCGATCATGTTCCTGGTTCGACGTCCTTTCATTCTCGTCGGCGTTGTGAATGTGGAACGATAAAATGAGCCTCGTCCCAAAACTCAAACGAGGCGGCATCGTAAAACTGACGTTTCGGGGAAGATGCATCGTTACGAGGAAGAAGAAGTCTCTTTATCGATGAAATAAAAGTGACTCGATGAAACCGTACGATCGTATATACTTTGATCACTTCAACGAATAATTCAGGCTATGATATTTATTTCTTTTTATTTGAGGTTATATGGACGGCATACCAATCGCCATTTTTCTTGAATTAGTACCCCATTTTACCACCACTGTACAAAGTTGACTTAACCTCTTCAAATTCCGTTTAAAAATAAAGTAAAAAGAACTTATCAAAGATGAGATAACATTTCTTCGTTACGTCATTCCTATATCGTTCTACGAAACGAATCTCTCATTGAGTTGAGACAGCGTTTTATACGCCCGAAGTGACTCTCGTCTGTAAAACACAGTCTTCTTTTTCGTCGTCGTCGTCGTCTTCGTCGTCGTCATCGTTGTAGTTTTCCTCCTACTCCACCTCCTTCGCAAGTAACCTTTTCTTACTCTCTTGGAACGAAAGAGAGATGAGGATTCGCCCGGCGGGAGGCTCGTAAAGCGCGAGCAAGTCGGCTAGAAGTAGGTAAATTCGCGATTTACTGCTTTCTCAGAAAGTCCATTCTATCGGTGCCCTCGGCCGATCCCGCAATAATCGGACGTCTTACGTGTCCCATAAGCGCGATAAGATCGTTTTGCGAGTTGAGAAGTAAGGTAAGGAGAGGAAAGAGGATATAAGAAGAAGAAGAAGAAGGAGGAGGAGAAAGAGGAGGAAGGTTGTGGAGGCTAGGCGCGTGAGAAGATGCAGCACGCGGAAGCAGACGAGAGTGAACCATGAAAAGAGACAGATAGTTATAGATAAACAGAGAAACTGAATAACTATAAGTATCTAAGAAGGACAGTGAGAGAACAAGTTAGAAAAGAAGGTAAAATAAATGAGAGAATAAAATAGAAAGAGAGAGAGAGAGAGAGAGAGAGAGATAGAGAGAGAAAATCAATGAAAGAATGAAAAAGACGGACAGAGGGAACAATAATAGAAGAGAGAAAAGATAATATGAAATACCGTAAGAGAGATAGGGAGAGAGAATATGAGAGAGAAAGATAGGAGGAAATGCTGTTGGTGTCACGAAGGAACCTAAATACTTGCTCGTCCGTTAGGCGTGCTTAGTCCTCTTCTACGTGCCGTGTAAACACGCTCCTCCGTGCAAAAGACGCACGCGCGGAGTAGGTGAGATAAAACGCAGGGTCGCCACGTTCGTTGCGGGGTCACGACACCTTCTTCTCCTTGCGTTTGCAATGGCGCACGGCACACTACTTATTCGCACCTGTACTCACCTCTCTCGCGCGCGATATATACTCGCTTCTCTATCTCCTTTTCTTTCATGTTCTTCGTTTTATTTTCTTAAAACTCTCTTCTCTTTTCTATACCAACGTGTTTGAGTTCTCTCTCTCTCTCTTTCTTTCTCTAGAGGTAGCTTAACACGGCCCAGTGACCCGTATAACCTACGCTCTGCTTATGATCGAAGAGATTTCTGTGTATCTCTGTACGTGGTGTATCTTTCCCTTAACGGGATGCCTCGTTCTCTCAAACGATTCGCTTCCTTCTTCTATGAGACCTTCCTACGAAGATCTTCCTTCTTCTTCTTCTTCTTCTTCTTCTTCTTCTTGTTATTCTTGTTGTTCGTGTTGCTTGTCTAGTCTCTTTCTATTCTCCTTTACTTCTTCTTTTGCTGCTCTTATAGCTTCTTTGCTAACGGAGCGATCAGAGCTAACGATACAGACGGTGATTTGATAGCGATCGAGCGTGATGACGGTAGGTAGGATAGTCCACGAGATAACTATGCTAAAAAGATTTATTATATACATTTAAATTTGAACGATAATAAACATTTCTATCTGTATTCTAATCAAGTTTTTATAATTGCATTCATTTAATTAATCAAATAGTTATTTCGTTTACTAATGCCTAACTATACTTTTAAAGGCTTCTATTAAACTGGGATGCAGCCTACATTTGATAATCTGTTTAGGAATGAATGAACTCGTCATCTATTGATAACTGTTTTCATAGTAATTGAGGGACTGATTCGTTATCAGTCAATACTATGATAGATACCTACTCGAGATTATTCTATTATGTGCCAAGATAACCACTCGAGATTGTTCAATAATGTGTTATTATGATATATACTCCAGATAGCTATATTATCTAAGTAGACACTTCAAATTGTCCAATAATATGTAATGATAAATACTTCAGACAGTTCAATAATGTGCCAAGATAAATATTTCAAGTGTCCCACAATAACGTATAAATAAAGATACTTTAAAGTATAACAAATTAATTCAAAAATTTACCATAAGAATGACACCTATGATTTTTTGACTTGTTTAAATATCAATAGTCAAACTCTTCACGAGAATGTTTACTTAACTTCGTTTAAAATCTCAAACTCACGTATGGCAAATATAGATAAATGTAAATGTCTTATGACGAATCTTAAAAACAGGAATTGATGGATAATAAGCAAACAAGATAGAGAGACTTTGAAGCAACTATTAAATTGCAATAAGGCTAAGTGTTTTTGCTTACGAAAATATGTAATAACTAGGTTAATATCCTAAAATAAATCAAAAACTAGATTCGTATACCCAAACATTGTGAAACATTATTACAGTGTTACGACTTTTACTGATATTCGATCGCAAACACGCGAACACTCGGCCCAGTGACCCGAATAACCCGTGGTTTGCTTATGATTCAAGCGGTTTCCATCTTACTCCTCTCCTTTCCTCTCAGATAAGCCCGAGGGCGAGGAGGCACCTTTTCGTTTGCACTGCTCGTTATTTCGCACGGCGACGTGGACGACGTTCGTGTCTTCTTGTCCTCTATCTTTTTCTCCATTGCTCTCTCTCTCACTCTTTGGGTTAGCAGCTCCCGTTAATTATACGAAAGAACATCTTGCCGGTTGCCGGGCCCCCCCCCCCACAACAATGTCAGTAGGCCCTGGTTTCGACGAGGAATCATTAATCACGTCGAACATGCCCATGGAAACGATCTAATTACCCCTTTTTGGACATACCTTTGAATCTTTTGTGTTTTGTTCCATTTAACTCTATTAGGGTTAATCAGTTCTTAACTTTTACCATCCTAAATATTTCTTATTTTGTATGTACTTTTATGGAGGTTAGCATTAGAAATTTAATCATCAAAAGACAATTCAAGTGGATTTTTCTAAAGCAGTTCAATAAATTCTATCTATTTGCTCGGCAGGTATTGTCGTGGCTCTGCAAAAAAGGTGAAGACGTATTGTCGAAACACGCACAGCACTCAGCAACAACGCTCTCAGCAGCTCGTCATCACGAGAGGGAATTTGAAAAGTTTTACTTTACGTCGATGGTGAGTACCACCTATATACCTATATACCTAGCAACCAAGTAACCAACCAAGTAACCAACCAACCATCCAACCAACCTTTCGGTAATATCCCGAGAACTCAATCGTCCTGCGGCTCGTTAATGGAAACGAAAGGAGAGCCTTGGGGGCCTTTTGGTATTCGCCCTCCCTACTGAGAAAAGAGAAGAGAAGATTTCACTTTTTTCACGTCCCATTGAGTCGCTCGTCACGCTTCGATACGAAAGAAATTTCGCTGCTGAGCGAGATGCCGTGACGAGAGGGAGTAGAGAGCACCGAATAAGGGGCGGGACACAAGAGAAGAGGGAGGATCCGCTTGCAATAACTTCGAAATAATAAAGGAATCCATTGTGTTGAGTAGGACCAACTCCCTTTCCCTATTGCCAAGAATCACGCTGAGTTTGAGGGACTTTTCTTTTTTCCTTTAACCGCAGGCACTCGTTCAGGCGGTGAAAGAAGAAAAAAAAAACAAACTACAAAAAGACTCTTCATATGAATTTCTTTGAAATTTCCTTATTGCAATGGGAAAAAGTATAAATTTCAAAAGAGATTGTAATTAAAGACAAACGTAAGAGGTGTATTCTTGATTTACGAGAAAAGAGGAATATTATTTATCTTTTGTATCTTGTAATAGGAAACTTTTAACAGTAATATCAGACTTTGGAAGGTTATTTTCTGCCCATTTTACAGGACACTGTATTACCGATGAATCTAATACAGATTAGAGTTCGGTCGGTAATAAGTTTCTTAATTGTACTTTCCCTTTGTCATATTTTGCAATATAAGAAATACTATCAGTCCATTAAATAATAAAAATATTATTTGAGATATATATAAATGTTTCCTTTTTTTTTTTTATTATAAAAAGAAGAACGAGTTAATTGTGAAACCGATCGTCGTGAATCGATTTTTACTCGATCGGTAAGTCGATCGTTCTATAATGTGCTGCCGTCTATGAACACTTCTACTCAACGTAAAGTTAACCTCAAACACTCTTTGGATAAAGTTTTAACTCGATGAAAATTGAAACTATCGGAAAGACTATAGTTACGTTAATGATAGCTATTATTTTGTTCTCTCGCGAATGTAAGCTAGTTAATCGAGCCTCACTGGATTCTCATCGATCTTTTGTAATAGCCCGATCGAATCGCAGCCATTAATTTAAAGAGTCCGATTCCGAGTAAAGTTCTGTAATTAGAGGCGTATACTATGGAGAAACTCGCGGTAATCGCGATAGAGAGTAGTCGATTAACGCGTTTCGGATCCCAAAGCGAAACTTGCTTCTTTTCCAACGACTAAAGTGGATACCAATGTCTCCTCTTATCAATAAATGGTACGACTCTGTGTCCGTTTCCTTTGTTCGATAAGATATCGGTAACGGTACGTACCGATATTCAACTATTTATCGTCATTTTATTTTCTCTTTGATTCTACATTGCTAACAATAAACATTGTTTGATTTTATTCCGGGGGTTTTTTTTTCAAACGATTTTTGCGATTTTACAAAGATGAGAAAATACTATGTAAAATTGATTATTAGTTAAAGTACATAAACGTTTATCCTATTAAATTAACATTAGGAGTAACAACTATAAGCCATTTGATTGTTTTACGATTTTCTAATATGTACATTTTTATAATATTTGTAATTATCAACTATTACCAATGCAAATTCTATTTATAAGTGATTAATTAGATTAATAAATTACAAAAATACAATTTGATAATACACATTTGAAACATTAGATTGTATTACTCGTGATGAAACGTGAGAAATTTGTTAAGAAATGACTTCTAAAACTCGTGCACATACGGGAAAAGGTATGTGAATACTTTGCCACAATAGAAACGGAAATTCCATCGGTAAGTTTTTTTTTTTTTCCCTTTAGCATATAATCGAACTTTCTCCTGTTATCCATGCTTTTGCTCGACGAGTTAACGCTAACATTGTAGAGAAAAGTTAAAGAGAGGAAGAGAATTGTTATAGGTTCTCGATCAACATTATATTTGTATATGTGTGTGAATGAATGAAATTTGAAAATTACTTTAATCAACGATATTTTACGATAAATTTTAATTAATCAAAGTTTCACTCGCTTCGATTAAAGTCTTAAATATTTTCCTTCTTTTTATTTTCACATTTCATGGTTCATTACCTTGCTAATGTTGTTATAATCGTTACACTATAATTTATGAACTGTGATATCACGATTATGATATGAAATTACTCGTGTCCTGAATTTGATTCGTATAATTATACGTTTTGATCGTCAGTGAACGCAAAATCATAAATAAAACTTTCCTCAAATCTTTTGTTATTTATTCTCGAATCAACTTTGTCCAAAAGAAGACACTTGTTTCTGTTTTCTGTTTTCTCTTTTTGTTTAAAAACGTCCGAGTTGTTTTCAGAAGCACATTAAAGTTAGGTAGATGTATATCCAAGTATATACCTTGACCCAAATGTTACCTTACTGAGAAGAGAAGAGAAGAAAAGAGAAGGACAATGTAAAAGAGATTGCATCCTTTAAAGTACAAAACGATGTTTACCACGTTGTTAAAACCGATCTCAGAAAATCATCGAGGCTTTGGTTTCGCTGGGGAAACAGTCGAGAGACTTTGATACGAGTGTAAGTATATGTTCGTTCTCCTAACCCAATTACTAGGACAAATGGAAATGGTAAGGAAATCGCGAGTTGAATAAGAACGAAGGTGTCGTTTAACTTTGTAGATGCCGAATGTCGGGTAACATGGGATGACCGTAAAACGTACAGGAAATCACGCCTTGTCTTTGAAAGTTCGTACTACCTTCAAACTCGTGCGTTCTAATATTTTGTACGAATATAAATAGACATTTTTCATTGAGATAATTTTTCAATAATTTTTTTTTTTCGTAAGAAACAAAACATTCGTCATAGTTAGTTTCTCCTCATCCTAAAATTAGCAAAGGAAATAAACATTGCTAAACAAAGAAAAAAAAAATTAACAACGATCTTTGATAACAAAATTACGTTAACTAACTTTCCCTTATTTATTTATTTTTTTATCTTGAAGAAGATCGTACTTACATTAATATTCTTTAAGTAAGGATAAATAACAAATATATATATGGTTGCGTCCGGTTGCTAAGTTTCCTCGATGCCATCTCGCCACCACCGTGTTTGGCTTGTGTCATGAATTGCGATCGGGAAATTATTTCAAAATCGCTTGCAAAACTATGACGAATCGTTCGATATGAGGTAGTTATGCTCGTTTACTGACACATACACTTACATATATATCATAGATGAGCGCACGTACGTGAGTTTTTATTGTAATCGTTTATTTGATGATAACTCCAAACACAATAACGGATGCGACCTTAATGCATTTCTATGCGGATCTGATATAATATCGAAGTTGTGTGGACAATCAAGATGATTGCAAATTTTAAATTAAAAAAAAAACAAAATATAAGAAATTTAATAAAATATAGAAAAATGTATTTAATCAAACATTGTATTATTTCTACAGGGGAATATCTATTATGAATAGAGAAATGAATTTTCTACACCATACACGTGATCAAGAATAATTATTCATGGTGTGCGAAATAGCAGTTGTACGAAAATGAAGATTAGACTAATCCCGTGAACCCTCTATTTTATTAGGCTCCTTCCCTTCCGTCATATATTTTAACATAGTGGAACTAACCAGTCCCTTGAAAAGGTTTAATCGTCTAATCACGATCCACCCCACGCATTACACCCACTTAACAGTCGATAGATTTATCCGGGCAAAAGGAAGATGTCACCCTTTAACGAATGGAACCATCTGTCGTGTCGTTGACAATATTAACCACCTTCGAAGAATCAATTTTAAGATCTAGAAAGTTTGTATTTTCTGATTTTAAAACTACGAGATGAAGCAATTTGATTTTGTAATAAAAAGGAAGTGTTGAAGTTTTATAATAAACAAAATGTCATATTAAAAAAATGAAAAGGGATAGCATATCTTGGTATTCGACAAAACAAGAAAATAATCGATTTTAAATATAACTTCAAAACCTGTGGACCCACCTAGAACTTTTACTTGAGTTTTTTTTTTTCAATATTAAACAGGAAGGAAGTAGAAGGTAAAAGAGAAAGAGAAATAGAAAAAGAAAAGGAAAGGGAGGCAATGTCCGAGAACGAAGGTCGTTTTAGGGACGACAAGTCTTCTGAACGGTTGGACCTCCTTCCTGTTCCACTAACGAGTCTCTCCACCACCGGTAATAGTAGTTTTACGTTCTACTTCGAAGAGGCATCGATTAACCCACATATCTCGAAGCAAGATGCATCGAACCAACTCGTCTTATCTCCTTCTCTCTCTTTCTCTCATTCTTTATCTTTTACACTTTTTTCTATCTCTCTCTTTTTCTCATTCTTTTCAAACACCTACACGCTAGCACGCTAACTATGCGTAACACTACATCCGTCTTCGTTGCACCTTCTTTTTCTTTTTCTTCTTTTAATTCCTAGATATCTTTGCAACTTAACATCAAGTGCGAACTCACATAGAAATTGCGTGTGCGATCGAACGTATAACACGAGTGTTTTAACATCAACTTATACACCTTGTCGTTCAATTATCTAATTATCAATCCTTATAAAAAAAAACATAGGTACACCCATTATTTAAGTGAAATCGGAATTTATCTGTAATAATAAATGAATACCATTGGTTAGATTTCAGTAAATATTAAATAATTGTCAAATCTGATTATACCTTTAACAAAATTTAAATAAAGTAGATTTTGAATGAAAGAAACTCGTAATATACACACTAATGTAAGTTTGAGATTACGTAGACCTTGTAGTTCGATTTGTAATAAGACGATAAGACGATAAGTAGATATGAGGACAGGATATTTATCCGGTTGAGGTGTGTCCATGATGGAATGTCATCTACCTGGGCGGACTTACGAACATAATACATAGCATTTTGTAAATGTGCCTTTAGAGTTAACA